GCAAACAGATCAGTGCCTCAAAATTCCTCCCTGGATAAAGGGGAGGACCTGGGATCACCCATAAGTGCTCCATACAGGGGCTTCCCACAAGCAGACCATAAAACAGCGGTCTCTGGCAGGTTTTAGAGCTCTGGAAGATGAGGGAGAGTCAGCTTTGCCACAGCCACAGTTTGGAGCCTTCAAACAGACACTGGGTTTGCCCAATTCCTCTCAGTCGCTTCTGGAAGCTCTTTTTGACTGCTTTTTGGATATTAAGAACCTTCAGAAAGGCAAGTTTCATTACACTAGGTGATTCTCCTTCAATCCTCAGCAAAACGTTTTATGTAAATTTAGGAACTTAAAAATTATTCTGAAATAAACAGCAAAAGCATGATTAGTATAAGGTTCGCTGCATTTGGCACTGAAGAAAAAGCTTGTGAGGCACAGGCTCGGACGAAAGCTAGTTTATTCAGGCGTAATGCGTAGTGGTTACAGACAAAGCCAGGATTGGCTTGGCGCGGTTCCTTACAGTAGTTTTATAGGGTTTCCCCCTTGACCCGCAGTTACCCCTCGGTTCCGCCCCTTGCCCTGGGCTACCCATCTGCCCATTGTGATCTTCCTTCCCCTCGCCTTGACGGCAGCCGGTTTCTGTTGTGTTTTAATCCTCTTCCTTTGTCTGCCTTGCCCTTGCATTCCTGGAGCTTTTCTTATCATGAGTTGGAGTGGCTGTTTTAATCTGGTTTCAAATTGCCTGCTGATTGTCTCTGGGTTGCTGCGCTTTTGGCGTATGGTAAGCCGGAGTTGCCCAGGGCGTTCGGGGAGTCGGCTGTGCTACTGTGTTCCTGCTGCTAATTGACTCCCTGCTGCGAGTTAGTTGCCCACCCACTGTCGGTAGTTAACTTGCAACTATATTGTTTCCTTGCCCTGATTACCTATTGCCTGAGGCAGTGAAACTGACCAACGGCTGAAACTGACAATTAGAACATTGATTTTGGAAAGCTTTTAACAGACTAAGGGGCCAGATGGATTGGAAATAAGATTTTGAGACTAATTATAAGAATCCTTCCTGTGGGTTGTTTAAAATCCTATTAAAAATATATGAAGATATTGAATCAAAGTATAAGAAGTCTTCCCAAGGGGAAATGTTGTGGGTTAGAGAAAAACATGATAAGAGGAGATTTTGAAGGCTGGACAATAGAGGCAACCAGAAAGAGCTAAAGATTATAATTGAAGGAGAAGAGACCCACGAATACAGAATGGGGGAAAGTATTTTAACTTTGGGAGAATCTGAGGATATTTGGCAACAACGCACTCAGGAATGTGAAACTGATTTATTTGATTAAGGTTAATATATATATGTTGTTATTTCCGGTAACCCTTAATGGAGTTTTGCTGATTAAGATTGATGAGGCTTTATAATATTTATAGATAAGAGATAAGACATGGGAAGAAGAGATCCTTGGTCGAAATCTTAGAGAAGGTGATAAGTTATTGAAATTGTTTGTACTTGTCTTGGTGAAGGGGAAATCATCTCTTTATATGTCTTTTTTCATCTTTCCTCTCTCTCTCCCTCCCTCCTACCTTCCTTTCTTCCTTCCCTCCCCCTTTTTTCCTCTGCACTTTTCTTTTTTTTTACTTTTTATATTTTCTTAATTTTGCATTATTTTTTATCTTTGCTTTTTTAACTTTAATAAAAATTATTATATAAAAAAGAAGTGTCCTATTATTGAGTCCTCAAATACATCAGTGCGAATGAAGCGTTCTATTCTCATTATCTGTGTAGCCCTTCTTCCAAGGAATTAAACATTGGCAGTGGGGCAGGAAGCGTCGGGGCCCATCATCTCTCCCTGCAGGCTCTTGAAGAGAAGCCCTTGTCAGGCATCCCTGAGTATCTGAGAGAGGTTCCCCTGTCACAAATGGTTGAAATTGTGCTTTAAGAGCATGAGAAGCGGCTGGTTGATTCTGGATTGAGCCAGAGTGTTAGCTTGTGATAAATCACCGTGATCATGAATGCGTTGATATGACTCTATTTCCTCAAGCACCAAAGACTTACTACATATCATTATATAGTGGTACCTCGGGTCACAAACGCTTCTGTTCACGCACAATTCGGGTCACAAACAGCACTGTTCGCAAAATTTTGCTTCTGTTCGCGAACTCCGCATCGGGTGACGAACAGGATCCGCGGCCATTTCCCCTGCCGTGACACGTGGTCGTGGCTTCCTGTAGGGAGGGGGACTCTCCCTCCAAAAAATAACCGCCTCCCCACCCGCCTTCCTGTCCTCCACACCAGAAGTCGCCTCAAGCAAGGTTAGTGTTCTCTTTCTTGGTACTGTACTGTACTGTACTTTGTTTCATATTTTTGTGGTTTAAAAAAAAAATACATATGGTTCAGAACTGATTAACTGTATTTACATTGAACCTTATGGGAAAATTTGATTTGGGTCACGACCAAAATCGGTGGGCGACCAAATTCGTAGGGGTCAGAATGGATTAACCGTA